GGACAGACCTGTTGGTTTTCTTGCTGGTCCATGGTATATTCAAAACTCTTTTTCTCCAGCACTATAATTCAAAGGCATTCTTCTGCCTTTCTTACTCCTTGTCCAGCTCTCAGATGTATACCAAGCAAATGCGAAGCCTATGGCCTGGATCGGGTGCACTTTAGTTTCTAGAGACCACTCTGGAGAGGTCCCTGACAGCAGATTTTGCCAAAGCAACTCATATGATTTCCTGACTGCTGAAGGTGGTGATTGTGGAGCTGAGCAAGATGAAATAGTGAAAATATGCTTATTGAGCATAAAATGTTATGCTTACTGAAATGAGTTTCACAGAGTAGACTGCTTAATAAATGATGCTATAATAACTGAACACTCATTTATTAAAAAAATGAAACTTAAACCTAACCATTCATTGTATGTGAAAGTAAGTTCTATTAGATAAGAAAGTAAGTTCTATTAGGTAAGAAATCTAAACAAAAATATAACTAAAAGATAATTTCAGGAGTCTTAAGGAAAATTATAAAGATCACTTATATAATCTTGAGGTTGTTGTTTTTATGTACTGTAGAGTCAGAACCAACCCATGCCTGACAGTCCAGCAGGTTTTCCGAGGCTGTAAATCACACAGGTTGCACTTTCTCTAAGATGTATCTGTTTGTTCTTTTGGCAGTCAATGGCATATTCCGCACAACACTCTTTTTGAACACCACAACTCATATATTCTTCTCTGTCATCCTTACTCACTGTCCAACTCTCAGATGCATAGCAGGTAACTGGAAAAACTGTGCTGAATCCCGCACACCTTAGCCTTTAGACTGACATCATTGTTCCTCAGAACTTTGGAGAGAGCCCTGACAACACACTTTCCAAATGCTACACGTCTCTATATATCCTGAGTGCTGGTACCAAGGGTGCTGAATGTCAATTCAAGCAAGATTAAATTGTTGACAATTTCAGTCTTTTCTCCATCAATAATGATGTTGCCTGTTGGTCCAGTGGTGAGGATTTTTGCTTCACTTCACATATTTTAGACATGTTGTTAGGAAGGGCTCTTCCTTGGAAAGAGACAGCATGCCTGGGAAGGTGGAGGGCCCACGAAGACCAGGAAGGCCCTTAATGAGAAGGAATGATGCACTGTCTGTGGTAATGGACATATTTATGTCAAGGATGGTGAAGATGGCTCAGGATAGGACAGAGGTCAGAACTATTGTTCATGGGGTTGTTATGAGTCATATTCAACTGAGTGACACTTAACAATAACAACAACAAAACTGCAGAGGAGATCTCCATCGTTCCCCTGCAAAGCAGCTGTGGATTCTAACTCCATTCCTCCAGGTTGGCAGTGCAGCTCTATACTCTGAAAACATTAAGAAAAAAGACTGGAAAAAAAGAACTATATACAAATTGAACTCTTCTTCACGGAAAATAACAGTATTTGAAAATACTAAAAAGGAAAACAAGCTGGGAATATCATGGAAATATTTCAACACATAAAATATTAATAGAATACATAAGGAAATTTCATAAATGAAACCATCACTCTTACACATTGTTGATAAGCAAATTAAAGTTTGCAAGTCTTTCAATTTTACAGTTCTTCTTCTAGAAATTAGCCAACGGAGTATCTGAATATCACGTATATGTGTGTATGTATATATGGAGATTCATACTTTAAGAATTTTTATTTTAGTTGTCTCTTTAATAAGGACAAATGCCAAAATCAGAAGCAAATCCCCAAAAGTGTACATTAATGAAAGATTATACATGTAAATTATAACTAACTGATGCAATAATATTCCATATAGCTATTATAAGAATGAAAGTGAAACATAAGTGAGGATATGTTAAATTGGTAATCATATATATTATTTCATTTTTATTGTAAAAAACGGATACAGTAAATGCCTCTTTAACTGATTCATTTGGACTCAACAGCTCATTAACTAATAGAGGAGATGGAAGCAGGGAATTACATATTAAACAATTCATTTTAATAATAAATACGTACATTCATCTTTAATGTTTTGATGTAAGCTAAGCTGATGGGCTTTAAAAAATATGAGTTTATTGGATTATCTACACAGTCAAACAAACACCTTTGCACAGTCAATCAAATATAAATAAGTATCTTTCTGGTATTCCCTGCATTCAGCCATGAAAAGGTATTTGATGCAAAGGCTTTATTATGATACAGATCAATATAAACTATGAATAACACTGAGGAGAACTTCAGAACACTTAATTGTGCTCATAATAAACCTAAATATTGAATAAGAAGCAGTGGTTTGAACAACTGTAGCAAGGTGCTGTAGAATGGTGTACTTTAGACTTGAATCCTTTTTAACATACCTGTTCAATCTGAACAGGTATGCTGAACAAATAATGCCTAGAAGACTACATGAAGAAGAATGTGGCATCAAGATTGAAGGAAGATTAATCAACAACCTATGTTATACAGATGACACAATAGTGCTCACTGAAAATGAAGAGCTGAAGCACTTATTGATGAAGATCAAAGACTACAGTATGGATTACACCTCAATATAAAGAAAGCCAAAATCCTCTCAACTGGACCAATGAGTAACAGCTTGATAAATGGAGAAAAGATTGGAATTGTCAAGGATTTAATTTTACTTACATCCACAAACAACACCCACAGAAACAGAAGTTATAAAATCAATTGATGTATTGCATTGGGCAAATCTGTGGCCAGGAATCTCTTTAATATGCTAGAGATTAAGGATGTGGGTTTAACGACTAACATGCCCTTGACTCAAGCAATGTGCTTTCAATTGCTTCACATACATGTAAAAGTTAGCTAATGAATAAGAAAGTCTGAAGAAGTATTGATGTCTCTGAATTGTGTCGAGAAGAATATTAAATTTACCATGGACTTCCAGAAGAACAAACAAGTTGTTTTGGAAGAAGTATTCGCCTGAGTGAACCTTACAAACAAGGATGGTGAGACTCTGTCATACATATTTTGGGCATGTTATCAGGAGGGGTCAGTCCCGGCAAAAAACATCATACTTGGAAAAGAAGAGGGTTCACAAAGGAGAAGAAGACCCCGAAGGAGATGGACTGACACAGTAAGAGCAACAATGGGCTTAAACAGAGCAGAAATCAACGGAGAGGATGGGGCAGGACTGGGTACGTGTTTAACTTGTTGTACAAAAAGTCACAATGTTGTTGTTGTTGTTAATGGGCTTGTCAAGTCACTTGGAACTCATAGTGACACTGTGTACAACCCTCCTCTATTTTGAGCCAATTTAATTGTCTCTGACACACCTACCATCATTACCCTGTTACCACTGAGTTAATACATCTCATCCAGGGTATTCCTCTCTTGTACTGTCACTCTACCCTTCCAAGAATGATGTCCTTCTCCAAGGACTGGTCCTTCCTAGTAATATGCTCAAAGTATATGAGACAGAGTTTCAAAATCTTTCCAAGAAGTAGCCTGGTCTCACCCTCTCCAGGATAGACATGTTTGTTCTCCTAGCAGTCCATGGCATGTTCAGTACTCTTCTCCAGAACTACAACTCAAAGGCATAAATTCCTCTTCTATCATCCTTAATCACTGTCCAGCTCTCTGATGCACAGTAAGTAACTGCAAAGACCCTGGCTTTGATTAGGTACACCTTAGTCTCTAGACTGACACTGTTGCTTTTCAGTACTCTGGAGAGGTCCCTGACAGCAGATTTTTCCCAATGTAATTTATCTTTTGGTTTCCTGGCTGCTGGTACAAAGAGTGTTGATTGTAGAGCTGATCAAGCTGAAACTGTTAACAATCTCAATCTCTTCTCTAATGGTATTAGTTTAATCAGTTCCATTCATTCTGCATCAGTTGATTAGAGCAAATCTCCAGATCTACACTGTTGTAATATGCAAGACACTAGTGACATGTGGCTACAAAACACTTAAAATGTGATTCATCTAAGTTGCTAGAAATTGAAAATGTAAGTATAAAATATACTTTTCAAAGACTTCATATGGAAGAGAATGCAAAATAAGCACATTAATATTTTAATAGTGCTTAAATACTGAAATGTTATTCTTTAAATGTCAGATTAAATAAAACATGAAAATTAATGTCACTTGTTTCTCTTTATTTTTTAAAAATGTAGCTAATAGCAAATTTTAAATTACAAATGTGGTTCTCATTATGTTTCCTTTGGGCAATGATGATGTAATGTATAAGTTGTACCTAAGGCATTCAATCAGACTTTCTCCTTTAATAGCAAAACATCCTAGGGTTAACATTTTAAGAGCAATCTTTCTAAGTAAACTTGTGATTCTCTATCAGGTTGCAAACTATATGATTTATGGGTCAAATTTGCTTACCTGCTTATCGTAACGCAGCCTATAAGCTAAGAATGGTTTTTACATTTTTAAGTGGTTGGGAGAAAAGTCAGGAAAAAAAATAACATTTGTGATGCATAAAGTTTCCATTTAATTGTCCACATACAAAGCTTAAATTTCAGTGCCAATAAATAAATCTTCATTGAAAACTAGCTTCTTCATTGGCTTAAGTATTGTCTATGGCTGTTTCTATGCTACAAAGGCATAGTTGCAACTGCCTATAAAGTTAAAAAATATTTCCTATATGGCCCTTTGCAGGAAATGTCTACTGACTCTTGCTCCGTATCATACCTATGGCATAGTTATTAATGAAAAGGTAAAGCTGTGTTTTCATTTGACCCCAAAAGAACTAGCTTGGATTCCTAGCTTCCTAACTTATTTCTGTCGTTGTTTGTGACTCATGAAAGTTCTATGATGGCTTCTTCTGAGACAATTTTATATCAGTATGTCACAAAAAATGCTTGGAGAGCTATGAAATCAAAGTCAGCATGTGTCTTTGCCTTAAAATTCTGCAATGTTCTATAACACCACTGTTGTCCTTTGAAGACTTGGGTTCTGCCTGTTATTTTCCATTTATGTTTCATATCCTTTTGTTCATCTGCAGGGCTGTTTTCTCAACTCATAGCTTCTCAAGTACCTACCTTTGTGGACCCTGTGAACGCAATCTTGTCTATGCCAATGTGAGAAGCTATTGCTGCCCCAGCTGTTGGCCCATATCCTGGCAAAATATTGATGACTCCTGGTGGAAATCCAGCCTAACAAAACAGAATTGGAGGAAATATGGTTTGTGAAAACTGATAAAACACGTTAAATTATTCATCTGTTCTGTATAATGTTCATGCACTCTTTTCCTATTCTCCCTTTTGTGCCTGAGATATTTCACTCAGCATGAAGAAAAGAACTATTTAAAAGGAATATATAATTAAGCACTATATGTAAGACAGAAGTCCAGAACAAGAAGAACATTGCAAAGAGACTTGGAAAGGAGGAAACTGTGCAACAATGAATGAATGTTATAAAAAGAAAGTGAACTGGGGGAGGGGGAAGAGAGGGAGAGAAAAATGTTCAACAATAAATGAATGGAAAACCAACTTTTCTGTAAACTTTTGTTAAAAATCACAAAATTTAAAAAAATTACTTAAAAAAAAAGAAACATATTAAATCAGATATAGACCAGTAGGCCCCAAGTGGAAAAAGAGTCAGAGACACTCCTAAAGTCAGTTTCTCTTACCTCCTTGATGAGGGCTCCCATATAGAGTGCGCTAAGTGGTGTTTGTTCTGCGGGCTTGATGACTACTGTATTGCCACAGCACAAAGCCGGAGCAATTTTCCAGGCAAACATCAGCAGGGGGAAGTTCCACTGAAAGGAAAAATATCTGTTTGATAGATGGAAATATATTCCTCCACTACTTTGTTTTCAAGCTGTGACTTCTCAAATTTCTCAGACTAGTCCACAACATAAATCTTGTCCACTACAATGTATAGATGTTTGGATTTTTAATTACTCCATTATGAATTTAATGGGCTAGCACTGACATTGAAAGACTCTCCTTTTCTTTCTGTTTGGCAAATTACTACAGTACATAAACTCACCAAAAGACATCTAATGGTTAAGGGGGAATTTTTATTGTGATTTCTTGTTGTTTTATATATTTTTAAAGGTACACTTTTCCATCTTAATATGAAAACTTTAGTGTTTGGTACTTTTAAATGAGAACTTTTACACTGATAGGAAAGTTATTCAATGTGAAGAACGAGAAGTGAACATTCTGGTGGTGAATTACATTTAAGTCATGTATATTTCAAGGTAGTGCCGTTTCTTTATAGATATTGTCACAAAACCAGCTCTAATAGTACAGTGGCTAAGTGTTTGACTGATAAACAAAAGGTCAATGGATTGCAACCACTAGACACTCCCTGAGAGAAAGCTGAGGCAGTCAGCCACTGTAACAATTACAGCTTCAGAAGCTCTATAGCCCTGTTATACTCTGACTTCTATGGTTACTATGAGTCAAAATCAACTTGATAGCAATGGGTTTGTTTTTCCAATTTTAATATCACAAATAAACATGAAGACAGAAAAAATAAAATCCACCTTCTGATAAGTATGCAAAGATTTAGTTTCTCTTTTTTCCACTGGGAAAAAAACCCTAATGTAATTTATATGTATATATGTGTGCCATTTAGGTCTAAAATGGATTAAATTGGTTTTTAAAGGATATTAAGCTTTTAATGGTTCAAGCATGAGCCTCAGCACTATCAGGTGTCATTGATAATTTCATTAAGAGAGAAAACAGAAATCTCTGTCTCTTGCCCTCAGCCCCTGACCACAATGTGTTTCTGCCTGAAGCATCTCAGCTGCCATCCTAGAAGGCCTTTGCTGGCCGTGGCAAGCTTGCAAAAATATACAAGTGTCTTGCCTTCACCAAACACCCAATTTCTTTTCCCCTTAGTTGTTTATAAACTTGGGAGTCCACAGTGATGTTTTAATTCTATCTACAGTGTATAAATCTTGGAGTCCAGTAATTGAGCCCGAGATGGTTGACAAGCAGCTCTTGTCATGTCAGTGAGAGAAGCAGCTCTGAGAGTCTAGGGAAGAGCAAGAGGAGCAGGTTTGAGTCTTTAGAATTAAAGTGATGGAATCTTTGACCCAAATACGATTTCCTAGGTCGTTCAGGAGCATGCAAACTTAAACCACTCCTTCCATTTTTCATTCTCTAATACTAATACACTTCATTGTTAACTCAGGGATTAGAGATAGTACAAAAATGTTATCATCTGCCAAAAATCTTTGGCCCCAAAAGCTAAGGATTATCTTCAATTATTCTCCCACATTTTGGAAAAAAAGTTTTTGCTTCATACTCTTAACAGTTTTATTTCAGTTTCCCCTTGAAATCCCTGCCAGAACTATCAGCTAGTACTTTTAGAAGATCCAGTGACGTTTTGTATAGTGCCAAGGATATGCATGAGAAAGAGGAAAAGGGACAATGTTTAATGTTCGAACTCAAACACTAAGCACTACATCTATTTCCCTTTACAAGACACACAACAGCTCGGCATGGTTTCAATTATGACCGTGACGTTAACTGTACTGCTGTGTCTTCGTAGCATCTTCTATCTAGATTCTTCTGAAAAGAAACAGTGGAGAAGAATGGGATTAAAAAATCATATAAAGTAATATGCCTGGAAAGATGATGAGTCACAGTTCTAAAAAATAAACAAGCAAATATAACAAAGCATTAATTTTCCATAAGCTAAAGAGCCATCCATAACCAATGGCAGGTTATTAATACACTGTGTTTTGTTTTGCTTATTTTAATCATGAGAATTCCATGACTTGAGAACTCAACTCCTGGTAACAGAGCTGAAACCCTATTAACCTGTTCAAATAAGCATTTGCAGGGAGGCTGTTAAAGATATGTCAACAACATGAGCTCAGAGGGCTTTTCCCCCCTTTCTTTCCAGTAATGGAAAACATACATCTCTAAGGTTCATGTTTTATGTGTCTTTAAGAGAACTAGTTCAAATGAAAATAAATATGAGGCGTGAGGAGATACACTCACCGGGATGATCTGTCCACACACTCCGATGGGTTCATGTCTTGTAAACGTAAAATAGTCTCCATCTGAAAGAAATGAGCTTGGTCACTTCCAGGCAGTTCAGAGAAGAAGAAAAATGCAGAGAGAGAACTTTTATGGCAATAAAAATAAAAGAAACAAAGCTGAAAAACATCCCACTTAGCTCTTCCTGAAAGCTAGTAAAAGAATATCACCTGGCAGAGGCTTCTCTGGGAGACGACTCCCACAAATGCAACAGAGCACAGAGATGCGAAAATTCCCTCCTGATTTCTACTTCCGGAAACTGATAAACACAAAACTTTATATTAAATATAAAATGATAATAGTGTTTAAACTCAATTCGTTGTTAAACTGGATAGCTGACCTTCCTTCCAATGGGTTTCTGAGGCTATAAATCGCACAGGAAGAGGCTGCCATCTTTCTCCCATGGAAACACGGGTGGATCCAAACCACTAGACGGGTGCCACGTTTGCATGAACACCGCAACTTCATAGAGACGATGCTACCTGAGCTTCCTCACATCCGTATTTGAAACAGTTTATTTAAAAACTGAGGTCCCATAAACTTTTAAGGAACATTCTGAAATAGTAAAAATTTAAAACCAAGTAAAATACTATAGGTATATTAAAAAGCTTGGCAACTGGAAAAAGAGAAGAGTAAAAAAAGAGAGATATTTTGCAACTCAATCTAGGTGTCCAAATGTGCTTCTTGGGTACTGGTGGAACACAGGCACTTCACAGTGATTAAGAGTTTAAAGATAATTTGGTGCATAGTCCATAGTTTCCATCATCAAATTGGTCATGGAAATGAAGAAGTCTTTGTATCCTAAAGGCTGAAAGTAAAAAAACTTGAAAGAAATGTAATAAACTTGTTTGTTTTCCCTTTGGTTTGGGGTTTCTTTTTTATGTTATATAATTCCATGTGGGTTTATAGTTTATATTGAAAAATGCAACATGGGCTATTTATATATACTAATAATTTGTTGAGTGTCCACTATAAATAGACACTATTTGTATTTAACGGTTTTGTCCACATAATGACAAATTACAATTTTTAACCACATTATACAAAGAGGGATTTCCCAGCTAGTTAGTGATGGAAGAGGAAAGAATTAAGTCCACCTTCCAATATCATAAGTACTAGAGATATTTTACATGTCAGGGAACCATGTTTGTATCTGACACAGTATATTCTATTCTTTTTTAAAATTAATCTTAATGAAAATTTACAGAGATTTTGGATTTCCATTCATTCATTATTACACATTTCTCCCTGCCCACCCTCCCCTCAGTTCGCTCTTCTCTTTGAAAAGTAAAAGAAAAAATTCTTTTATTGTTATATAATCCCTCCCCACAAGTCCACTCCACTATGCAGTCTTCATTCTGGACTCATGTCATGACAAGCATACCTAATCATATATACCTTTTAAACAGTTGTTTTGGTTTTTATATGGGAGGCAGTCTATATGGTGTTCTGAATTTTCCTTCTTGAAGGAACTAATTATTCAAGAATTCAAACCATATTCATTTTAAGAAAAAGCTAAATTAATAATAAACACCATAAATAAAAAATGTAAACAAGCTATTATTTTTATCTAAATTATTTAAATGGATAAGCAAAATCACCACAGAGTAGTTCACTTTTAGCAATACCACTTTTTATTTTACGCTGTGAACACGGTCTTTGGTTTTCCCTCTACTGCCCACCCTTTGGCTATTATATTAGTATGTCTTCTCTCTTAACAACAAACTTTCCAGGGGAAGTGAAGACCTTCAGTGAGACATGTGGAAGTGCATTACTATTAGGATGGAACTGAAGGTCAGGGCAGGAGGACTGTGTAAAAGTTGGAACAGAAATTATGCGAATGAGCTAAGATCATTTATTATTGTATATAATTTATCTAAATTATTATTTCTCTCATATAATGTTTTCTTAAATTCATAATTATATTTTTCAATGATAAATTAAAGGTCCAGCTCCTTGGCCACTTATCGTCAACTCTTCCTCTCAGTGTTAACTGTTATGATGCAGCTGTAACTTTTCAAAAAGCTTACTCTTCACATGCATGTATCCTTTAATTTTGCTTAATTTCTGTTAACTAAAACACAAACAGAACCACTTAATTCATGCTGTTTATTTATAATTTTATTTACACTTTGAAAAAATAGATGCACCTTATTTCACTGACTAAATAAATTATGGCTCCATTGTAAAATGAGGGAGCCCTGGTGGTGTGGTCTCAAGACGGAGCTGCACAGCTAACCTCAAAGCCAAACCTCTGGTGGTTTGGATCCACCAGCAACTCCTTGGAAGAAAGATACAAAATCTTTCTTCCATGTAATTTACAGCCTTGGGAACCTGCTGGAGGGTCCACTATGAGTCAGTTCCAAGTCAACAGCAAAGACTAACTATCTGACTAAAATTTCCTGCAAAAAAAAAAAGTTGTTAGTCTTACCCACTCACCCTCTGCCATCAAGTCAGAGCTGACTCAGAACTTACCCTCAAGCCGGTTTTCAGAGGCTTTAAAGCATATAGAAAAACTCTCTTGCAGTTTCTGGTGAATTAGGTGAGCAGCACAACTCTCCACTAGTTTTGTTTTCTAGTTTTTATTGTTCATATGTCCTATCAGGTAGACCATGAGTCAGAGTTACCCTACAAACAGTAGCTCTGAAACTTGCCATCTCCTGAGTCAACCTTATCAACACATCTTACCCCACTGCTACAATCACTGTGTCAATCCATCTCATCAAGTGTCTTCCTCTTCTGCACTGACCCTCCACCATTCTAAGCATGATGCCCTTTTCCAAAGACTGGTCTATCCTGATAATATGCCCAAAGAATTGAGATGGCCTTTCACTATCTTTGCCTCCAAGGAGCACCCTGATTTCACTTTCTACATGACAGATATAATTGTTCTCGGCAATATTCAATACTCTTCTCCTGTACCACAACTCAAGACATCGATTCTTCTTCTGTTATCTTTAGTCACTGTCCAGCTTTCAGAGGTACAGAAAACAATGAAAAAGACCATGGCTTGGATCAGGCACATCTTAGTCTTTGGACTGACACCGTTGCTCTTTAGCACTCTGAAGGGTTCCTTGACAGCAGATTTTCCCAACGCAATTCATCTTTTTATTTTCCAAGTAAGATGAAATTATTAACAATTTCAATCCTTCCTCCATCTAGCTTGATGCTGCCGTATTGGCCCAGTGGAGAGGGTTTTTGTTTTCTTGGTGTTGAGATGCAATTCATATTGAAGGCTGTAGTACTTGATCTACTGCTATGAGCACTTCAAGTACTTGCTTTCAGAAAGCAAAGTTGTGTTACCTGCATTAACACAGGTTGTTGTTGAGTCTTCCTCCAATCATGATGACACATACTTCTTAGTAAAGTCCAGCTTCTTGAATAATATGCTCAGCATATAGACTGAAAAGGAATGAATAAAGGATACATCCTGACATTTCTTTCTTGATATTGAATCATGCAGTGTTCTCTTGCTCTGTTTAGACAACAGCTTCTTCATCTATGTATAGGTTTCACATGAGCACAGTAAGATGTTCTTATATTCCAATTATTCTCAATTTTACCCATACTTTTTTGTGATCCTCACAGTCAGATGCCTCTGCATAGTCAATAAAATACAAGTAGACATTTTTCTTGTACTCTTGCTTTCAGCCAAGATCCATCTGACATCAGCAATGTTATCTCTAGTGCCACGGCCCCTTTGTAATCTGGCTTAGATTTCTCGTAGTTCTGTCAATGAATTATTCTATCCAGTTAGGATGATCTTTGGCAGTATTTTGCTTGCACATTATATTAATGATATTGTTCTATAATTTCCATATTGGGAATGAGAATTAAACATGATTCTCTTCCAGTAAACTGGCCAGGCAGCTGTTCTCCAGATTGCTTGTTTTAACATGAGGAACACATCCAGGCCTGAATCTATCTGTTCAAATATGTCAACTGATACTCCATCAGCCCTGGGGCCTTATTTTTTACCAATGCCTTCAGTGCAGTCTGAACTTACTCCTTTATTACCATTAGTTCTTGATCATATGCTTTTTCCTAAAATGGTTTGGTGTCAGCCAATTCTTTTTTTACAGTGACTCTGTGTATTCCTTCCACCTTTTGATGCTTCTTGAATTATTCAAGATTTTGCTCATAGCTAAATCATTCAGTATGCCATTTTTCAGTATGGGAACTCATATTAGGTATTACAAATAAAGCTGTGGATATTGTTTTATACATCTGTGGGATTCTATATGCATTATCTATTTTCAGAAACATCTAAATGAAAAAGCTGCTTTGTGGGAGAAAGATATGCAATCTCCTCCCGTGTAATTAACTGCCTCTGAAAACTCACTGGAGAGTCAGCAATAGGTCAGTTCTCACTTGATAGCACGTAACAATTTATATAACAGTTGTATAGCTAGCTCAATCAGAAAAGCATGGAATTCTTAATCCTAGAGTTGTGGGTTCGATCCCCATGTTGGGCAACTGTGTTTGAGGGAGCTTTGGTGAGTTATGGTAGAGTTGTACTGCAAACTCAAAGGCATGTGGTTTGCATTCACCAGCTACTCTGTGAGTGAAAGAAGGAAAATCTCCTCTCATGTGTTTTACTACCTCTGAAAATCCAGTGGGCTATCAGCTATGGACCGGTTTCAATTCAAGAGTACACAACAACAGCTTATACAATACTGAAAGTCACTTAAGAAATGAAGAAGAAGTCACAATTTTAAAAAGCTGGCCTCATGAAGAATGGAACTAGATTTTATAATTGCTTCCCAAGAGAAACTATGCTATTGAGAAGAAAAATCTTTCTTGGATAAACTGTCCACAGATTTGAAAAGCATTTAGCTAAAAGCTGGCAAGAGAAAGGGGACTGAATCTTCTAGTCCCCACAGTCTCCCTAAGTAGTAAATAAAGAAAGAGTTTAGAGTGCTTGAATTCTTCCCAAAGAATGTTTGGAGAGAAAGATGGCCCTTCTTAGATCTTGCAAGCTCAGTTTGCACTCTCATCTGGATAATGGAAAATTACTATGGAC